TTTCTGAGAGAAGACGTTCTGTCAGAGGAGCCGAGATGCCCTGTGAGGTCTGCGGGGAATACGGATGGGTTCATTAAAGTGTGAAGTTTTCCTGCAGAACTACAGCTTTCCACTGACAAATCAGCTCTGCAGACAGTTTACCTTAACCGGCCACCAGATAGCAGACCCGTACAGAAATTTTCCTATTCCCTGCACATCCGGTGTTGAACTCAAACTAGCTTATAATCATACATGTCTGACGGGACAGCAGGAGAGAAAACAGGAATGTCGGCAATGAAATGCTCCCTCACTGCAATGACAGGAGCCTCAACCTCTGAGCCGATGCGGTGACCGACAGGGAAGGAGCTTCGCTCTTAACTTGAGCACAACTTGTTCCAACCAGCTTACCTGAATGCTGGAAAGGAACAAACCAGATGGGCGAGCTATTTCAACTCCTGCCCATGCCAGTTTTCTCAGACAGTTTTCTTCTACTTACGCTTTGCAGAAAACTTGGTAGGGTTCCCAGCCTGCATCGATGATAGCGCAGTGGAGAGGAAGTTATTTGCACTTCCTCCTCTGGACAAGTTTAGTCCTGCTTTACTTCAAGTACTTACTGCCTTTAAGATGTCAGGTCCCACTATCTCTAATTTACACACTTAAGCCTAACACCTTGAGTGAGCAGGTGCGTTAAGTATGGCCACTCCTCCCACTGCAACCTGACCACAAGCAGCTCTACGGATTTTATTCACGTTTATGGGATCCTATAATTTCGCTGCTGCACTGTTGATAAACATCAGTATCATCAAACGATGTGTTTCAGGATTCCCACCAATATGTTCCCAGGCTCGGAGACTTTCACTCCTCTCCTGAGATTCTCTTGCCTTTTCAAAACCAAGAGTTGAAATGAACGAACAGACACACCCCACCTCACCCACACTGTGCACACACACATGCAGGGAACCGCATTGCAACTGTGCAGTTTTCAAAAATTCTCCTATTTTTGCCAATTCCAGCAGAGCTAGAGCTGGGAGGGACAGGGTGGGGGGAATTTCTGAAAATCCAGTCCAACTTAGAAAAGCCTCTAATGACTAGGCGGGGGGCATTTCACTAACATTCTTTTGCACCTTTTTTGTCACAGGCACCCATCTCTCTTCTCTAACAACCTCTCTTCTTACGGGACATGCCAACTGACAGACTGGCGGGCACGAGTTTCATTCCAGCTTTTTAACCCCGAGTTCAAATATCAGAGCAACCCACGGCAGGCAAGGAAAGAGACCCTCGGCTGCATTTAATCCCATGCTTCCCATTTTGCTGCCAACAGGATCCCACCCCCCCTTCTCCCGACTCCTCCCCATGCGCTCCAGATACTAAGGGAGAGCAACGCAGGCTGCCGAGCAAACACTGCCCTGGTGAGAGCTAAACTTTACTGTGATGCCGACTCTTCCCTTTGATCAGCCACGCTTTCCACCTAAGCCTTGAAAACCAAAAGCTGGTCAGGCTCGGCACAGTCAGGCTTCTGCACCAGGAGAGGCAGAAGGGCAGGTGGTTCCGAGAGCGGACCCTCACACCCCCTCTCCCCGCCTTTGCTCCATCACATCCCCAGGACCAGGAGTCGCTGTCAGCCGAACCATTTTGTTCGACTTGTTCCCTTTACGAAACATGCCCTCCAGGTGGAGATCAGCTCTTCGGCTTGAGGCTCGAATCTCTCGCTTCGTCTGCAAGGAGAAAGTGACACCAACCATTATTCTCACAGTTTTATTTGTAAAGGACATAGCATGAAAAGCTGTATTTCAATGTACTTCAAAACCTGAAAAACCCATGTCAGTTTGTGGTATGTATGTTAAAGTGCTTGATATAACAATACTTTTACTAATGTCGTCTCGAAAATAATCCAGATCTTATTCAGTTAGTAATAATGTAAAGACAAAATATACTTAATGGAGACATTTAAGGATCATTTTAAGCTACACGGGGCACATCTGTACATTTCAAGTGTAACATACAATACTCCCCCTTAAGATGCGCACCTTCATTTGATTGAAAGAAGGAATTTTCTCAAATATGCCATTGCGCAACTATTCTAAAAAGACATTTTGGAACAATGATATCTAATTACACAAACCAGCCTGGAATAAACATGAGTCGATTCTTCACTAAACAGTAGAATTTCATTTGTTTCGGAGAATTATAAATAATGCATTTTGTACATAGTGAGGCATTTGATACTCTGACTCCCTCAAGTTACCATGCTGGATGTCAGTATAACAGGGCTACGCAAACTCATGCATCTTCAGATGGGTGTATCAGGTAGGAATTTTTTTATTTTCTTTTCAGAAGCAGACACCAGAGAGCTTTGGTCTTTTCCAAGATTCCCTTTCTCAACCAAAGAAGGTGCTTTAACACTGAACTAAAAACTGTGTTAGCTTAGAAGAATCCTGATGGGTTTCTCACCATTCTAGTGGGTAGAATGATTTCTGTAAACTTTACAGAAAAAAACCTCACAGCTTCCAATAAACAAAAGTAGTCTACTAAAAAAAAAAAAAAACCCAACAAACCAAAAACCAAAAAACATACACGGTAGAATAAAAACTCACTACAAAGAACCGGACTCTCAAGGCTGTCAAATAACTAGTCTTCTAGGAATCTGAGGCACTCAGCTGTGCCCCTTTCAACATATCTTAGGGTGTTTTATTGCCTACAAGGAAATATTAGACATACATAATTTTTATTGTATTATTAGTAATGTGATGTGAAACCTGACAAAGCCAAACAAGTCAACACTTGCTGAAAAAGCTGACGTGGAGTTGTGCTAAAGTTATGTGCTAAAAGTTCCCTAATGTAGTTTGAAATGGGGGAAGGCCCTGTTTTGAATTTTAACATTTCTCAGGTTTTGACTTATTTTAACTTAAGAAAGACTTTATGTCGTTATTGCCCTTTTCTCTCTGTGTGGTTTATTCACCTATGCTTCACCTTTAGAGGTGCCCACATTTCTACTTCACCCTGCCTAACCCGTGTCACGTCAGATGAATGTTACGACTGCTTAAGTCATAAATAGTCTTTGGAGAAGTACGCAGCAATATACTTTTGAGAAGTATCCAGTTAGCAAATGCAGATGATGCTGTGAAGAAATCCAAGGACTAAAGAGGTAATTATTTCAGTAAATTGGAAGTCACTTAGACTGGGTTGGGTGTGAAAAAAAATCATGTATAGCAGTCATTAGACATAAAAGGCCTGGGTTGTAATAGAAATCAAAACATCCGAAGCAGTCATTACCAAATAATGCTGCCACATGGTTTCTGGTGCTAAATGTGTAATTTGTTGATAGAGTTAAGTACTAGGGACGCGTTTTCAATTGCTGCTGAAGGGTTGTCATGCCTCTTCTGCTGACTTTAAGCAGACTTGCCTGGCCACACAGAAAACCCTAACACCCCAAATTTCACATTTCTGGAAACATTAAAGAGATGCCACACAGCCGTGGGGTCTGGCTACTAACTCCTGACACCATTCACAGCCTTTACGTTAGTTACTCACACCCACAGTAGTGACATGGCAGTGCTGCCTACAGTATTTGCGATGAGTTTAGTGAGTTTAAGGAAGTACAAGCCCAGGAGGGAAGAACGGTTATTAAAAGCCAAAACCCTCATTAAAGTCAATGACTCCCTGACAGTGTTATTTTACTTCTTTCTTAGAAACAAAAAACCTTCCATAACATAAAACTCCCTCTTCTAATGAAACAAAGTCACACAAAGAGTTTTTCTTCCGGCTGGGAATATCACGTGAAATGTTGACACTAAAGTGAGTGCTGGTAGAAGAACTGGACAGCAGAAGGATGACAGGAAAATACAGAAGCTTGACAAAAGGCTGGTGAGAAAGCAAACCCTAATTTTCATCCTCTTTCCTTTTCCTTAGCTCTCCACCACGTGCACGCTATACCGAGACCTGCCACTGCCCACCATTCCCAAGTCCCTCCCAACACCACCTGAGAGCACAGTGCAAGGCGATGCACCTGCAGCACCAGTCAGGGGCCTTTCCCAAGTCACGACTGAGAGTGAGACGTCCACAGAAATCCACTGATGAAATGGCCAAGGTCACAGGGAATAAACAAGTGAAAACAAACACCTGTATTTAAACTAACCTCCAAAAGCTAAAACCAGATGAAGCTAACTATGCCCTCAGATCCTTCCAACTCCCATCCACAGGAATGGAAAATACACTCTGTATTTGCTGCACGGTATCCACAAGATGATTTTAATGTAATCTCTTGTCAAGTTTTTAGCGTACAGGATTTCGGTTGCTCCCAGTTCCTCTTCAAGAGCTGTACGTATATATACGTGCTGTATTACTAACGCATTAACTGCTAAGAGTGTAGGAGAGAAGCCTCGGAATGCCAAAGTGAGATTTTTTTTTTTTTTACCTCCTTTTGCTTCACTTCCTTTTTTTTTTTTCAGCTGGATAATTTAAAAAAAAAAAAAAGCAATCAAAGATCCTGTACTTCCTAGGAACACTCATTCTGCAGGACAAAGGAAGACTCACAACCTATCAGCATTTCAAAACCAGCTGATACGGTTCAGTAGCACAGCAACACTGGTGTTTGTGGCTCTACAGCAATGATTCTTCTCAAGTACAGCAAGAATTTGGTACGAACTAAATTCTTCAACATGGAAAATAAAAAAAAAAGTCATCCACAACACAAACTGGCTGAGGGAGAGGGGGAATCATCAGAACATCTGGACAGGCAAGGGACACACAGAGCGAGTCAAGAAAGCCATCGTTCCCCATCTCAGGCTGCAGCAGCACCGCTTAAATGGGTGTTTCACACTCTCAAGCTCTGAGGCCGAGAGCAGTCCTCCTCTCCAGTGTTCCAGCACTTCAGCACTCGTCTCCCCTTCTGGAGATCAACAGAAGTGACACGAAAGACCTTACACACACAAAAAAAATGATGACTCACAACTTCCTCGCATGGAAAGGGTCAAGTCTTTGAACAAACAAAAAACCTAGGAGAGACCACGCACAGTAGGGTAACACAGCATCTGCCTACAACATTTCCAAGAGTGAGACAATCACAATGGCTACATAAGGATATTTGCTGTATTAATTTGCAATACCTGAAAAAAGCCCTGCTGAGTTTGCGCTGTATTTACACGTTGATTGGCTTCTTCCTTGCAAGCAAGTAGCGGCATCCCTTCCCATCTTGGCCCTTCCCTCCCCCCAAGTCCTTCCCCTGGGTTTAAGCTACTCATAGTCAGAACAAGAACATTCAAGTCTAAGAAAAATTTCTTAGAGTCATATAATTTCTTAAAGAAGATAGCATATTTACACACATCTAACACATGAAAATACTCTATTTTATACTAAATTTCTGTTTCAAATAAACTACAATACTGCATCTTAGCTTTCTGCAGCGTTAGAGGACAGTCCCCATCGGGCACAAACTGGACTTCCCACTCCCGCTTCAGCTGGCAGCTGGGCCTTACAGTGGTGCACTACCATCGCGTTCAAGTCCTGACAGGTCTCCAATTGTGGTTTGCTTGCTCGGGAAAGGAATAACGAAGTTCTCGGCAAAGCCATGCTAAACATCTACTCCTTTAATGAGCGATCCTTCTAGGATGATGTTGAAATCTTGCAATGTCTGTAGGACTCGGATAAGGGAGTTGACAGTCATGCGATCCCGTAGGAGAGCGTTCTCCTCATACATCCTTGTAATGGGTGGGCACTCGGCCAGCAACGGGATCCACTGAGAGAGCAAGTGGTCCCTGCAAAGGCGATGAAAGGAATTATTTCAGCACTGAGTGCAAGAGATCTCAAATTGAAATTCTTCTCCAACAACACAACCCAAAACACACAGTCTCTTTTTGCGGATGATGCATGGTGTTTGCACATAAATCATCATCATAACACTTGATTTTGTTAGTAAAATACAGGTAACTGAACATACTGTAGGAATGCGGTTAGAAAGGTCTCAGCAGAATTGGACAATTGAGTTTGGAAGAATTCAGCAACATTTTCAGACCAGGAACAGGGAAAATAAAACTCAGAAAAAGCCAGTAGAATTTTCCAACTGTTTTTCCATGTAGCCAGCCAGACAAGACAAAAATGGTACTTATTTCTACACACACCAACTTCCACCCTCCAAAACACAACTAAGCCCCCCCGCCAAGTGCAAGACAGAAAACATCCTATTAGAAAAGAAATATTCATCTAGAATAGTTTTGTCAAAATTATAACAGACATCTCATTTTCATAGGCAAAAAGTGATTCAATGAGGATTTACAGACGCACCAGCTCTTGCAAAGGAACTCTGCATTCCCAAAGCCAGCACTCCATCAAAAATACAACGAGACAGATTTCATACATATGACTGTCAAGCTAATGGTTATAAAAGAGCTCAAAGCATTTTAGCAGTTTAGACACTAGCCACGTATCATTACTGCTTCTTTGCTCCCATTTTTCACGCAGTATTAAAGCTGACTAAAATAGGCACTGGATAATAGATAGGTAGGAGACGTCTTAAAATGGAAAACTAAAGGTAATAACAATGGTGTAAAAATATTCTTCTAGTCTAATGCAAGAGGACACATACAACGAAGAGCAGTTAGGTACCTTGTCCCCAGGCAAACCAGAATTTGGAATTTGCCATCCTTTCCAATGTTCCTTGGAGCTGTATTGATGGCATTCACATAATGACAGAAGGTTTTGCACGAAGATCTCTGAAGCAAAAGGGCCTCCTCATTGTCTCCAATCTGGTCACTCGTTTCAAAATAAGCAACAGCTTTTTCTGTGGTAAGGAGAAAATCAGAACCCAGTAAGTGGAAGTACTTTATCATGACATAGAATTACACAAGGGAATCCCTAAAAAGACCAACCTGCTGGGAGCTAATGCACAGTTTAGACATGGATTCCTCACTCTGAAGACCATAGTTAGGTGGTGATCTCCACCTTTGCTACACAGCAGCGGTCAGCAGACTGGCTGATGTCTGATACAATTAGGTGACATCAAGGAGCTGCACCAGAATACCAATCAACCGTTTCATTGTAAGTGATACCACCAGCTTTGATTTTTCACCTTTTCCGAGTAAGCATTTACCCCTCAGGCTAAGTATCTCAACTTCCGAGCATGTTTTAAGGAAATAAGTATGTCTTAAATTACCGCAACACAGACCTACAGATAAGGATCACCAGAAGACCAGTGCAGTGAATTGGAGAGTTCTCATAAACAACTAGAAATCTAAACTTTTCACTCCCTGCCCTTCCCCAACTCTCCCCCTAACATTGATTGCTACTCTACCCCAACTCGCAGCCTACCTTCTTTCTGGGTAGAAAAGCAGCTGTTTGAACATTCATCTATGAATAAATGACTAGAATTTGAAGTGCTCTTAAATTTCTGCACAGGTTCACACCCCTCCCTTACATGGAGTTTAGTATTTCTCATCTTCCATCTTGTTTCTCATCGACTTTAAGCAACCTGGAGCAGGCGCTAGGCAGGAACAAATGGCACCCTAGCTGATGAGAAGTCAAGGGCTGTGGGCAAGTAGCCTGAATCTTTCTTCTCATTCTGCCTCCGAATCACATACCAGCTTACCTATGAAATCCCAGATGAAGACATTCTTATGAAAAATGCGAGCCGATTTGAATCCATGGTGGAAGACCTGCTCCAGCGCTGCGACCAGACCGTTTTCTCCACACAAGAGAATGGTAAGGCTCCCTCTCTGTGGGAAAGGGAGAGTCTGTAAGTACAACTTGCCTTGTTTGTGGCCCAGAAGGTTAACAGTCTCTACTGGTACTTCAGTTCCATTTCTGTTTATAAAAATATTTACATGCATTGTAGATACCAGGCTGGTAATGAAAAGTAGGAAGTACCTCCTTCTCTGGCTTGTGAAAGTGTTTCACAATATTGTTCACGGCTTCCCCGATTCCCTCTTGGATCTGTCCCGCGTTAGGCTCTGAAATGATGGAGAGCACACTAGCTGAAGATACCAACTTTAAAACATTCATCAAATTCTCATGATGACATAGCTTGAACTGCAGGAATTATTCTGCATCTTTAACAGAGTTCAGGCAATCATTTGTCTTGGGTAAACCTGAGCTTTAATTACAAGCAACTGATGAGCACCCCTGGAATAGTCAAATAAATCGTCCTACTTAAAAATGCACAACCCAGGGATTTGGCTTGATAACTATTTTGAGTTAATCACATCTTGCTCATCACATACAGTACAGCAACACTCACATAAAGAGACATGGGCTGAGAGGTTGTAGCCCAGTCATTTGACTCACTTCTACATGACAGAGGCCAGAAAACCCAGCACTCACTAATTCCTGACTTGAACCCACAACGTTTTATTGAGCCCAAACAAGTATCTATTTCAGGCACTTGTCTAGTCACTGTACCAGCGTGACAGGCCACAGGCAGAGAATATTCCTTATTAATGGTTCCAAGAGTAAATTATCTTCTGTGTTAAACTGCATGCCATGTTTCCACTCTGAATCTGTTTAGCTGTATGCCTCTGCAACTGAATCATGCTATACCTCCACCTGCTACCACCTCATCTTCCTATGCAGGTACCTGCAGAAAAATTGTCTAGTCCCTTACTCACTTTCTGACTAAAACAGACTGAACCTTTAAAACTTCATTTTAAGCAGATTTTAAGACGTTTTCCAGACTTCAGTCATTTTCATGGTTGTTCTATGAGTCCTTCCTAGTTTTTCAGACATACATAGGTTGCTATTAGCTTGTCCCACAATTGTTATTTTGGAAGCATGGAGTAATTCAGTATCATTTTAGTACACGATGACCTCCACAGTGTTTGGCAGGTCTAACACAGCGCCTCATGTAGCTCACAAGACGAATTATTGGGCCTTAGTGTTCTCGGACCCAAGGAAATGCTCTGCAAGTAGCTCTGGTGCCTACTCCTCCAGCTAACATGGACTCACACTACAGGGGTCCCGCGGTGGTTTTTAAATGCTACATTACTCCTGGAGGCTAATCTTTCCTCGCTTGACATTTCAGCAGTCGTGCCCTCTAATTTTACAGGAGCTGGACAGATTTACGAACAGGATCAACACCGTGCTCCTCTGTATGCTTTAGTGAAGAATGCCTCACGCGGCCCTTACAGTCCCATGCCCTGTTGTAGCCAGGTGCAGTTACTCACAAAGGCTAATTTTAGGGGCGTGAAGTTGGTGTCCCCTAGGGTCCCTCTGGAGATGTGCTCCTCCAGAAGGCACTTCACAGCATCCACATCAGGGTCTGAACTGCCCTTCAGCGAGGACTGCCTTCCCACTGACTGCAAAGTGAGCCAGGAAGCTGAGCAGCATCAGCTACTGCAAATTCGGTTGCCTCCCCCTCCCTCATCTCATATCTCCATGCTCCAAGGAAAGAGATTATTATCTCTCAACTGTCAAATGGGGACACCGAAAGAGGCAGCGCGTACAGTCACAGAGCAAGCTGCAGACACATAAACTGGGGCAGGAAAAACTCATCAGCTTGCAGCTGTTCCTCTGCATGGAGCCTT